CGCATCCCGCGTAAGCTTTCATTTTTTTTCGACGAATTTTCTTTGCTTGCAACTGCATCGAATACTATGAAAACCGCTAAAATTTTCCTGTCGTATCAACAGGTCTTTCGGCCTCACTACTTGACGTTTGATAGTTACATCCGATTTGTACTCAGCCTCAAGCCAATGCGGAGTGGGAAGGTAGTCGGCAGCCTCTGGACTGATCTTCACATACATGGGGCGCATAAAGTAAATAGAGGTCTCAACGGTTCGGTGCCTCGTCTGGCCCTTACGTACGCCGGCTGCCGAAGTTTGCGAGCAGCTATTCATTTTGTGCGGCCTCAAAGACGCGATATTGCGAAAAATAGTCTTTCAGTTCACTTTATTGCATGCCAACATGCAAATAGAGAGCCCTTTCATGACGGTTACTATGGGTGATTGCTGGTGAAGCGACATAAGTCGAGATATACCGACAGTCCTTGGCTTAGTGGTTGGGTGTCTTACTCAATGCTCCATAAACAAATGAGCCAGGGTTCGCAGACCAGATTATGGGACTATGGTACAATAAGTTGGCGGCAGTTAATAAGCTAGAAATAACCATCCCCATCTCAATCGTCCTTGATTTTCTTCTTTTCGCTTATATTGTTCTAAACATACATATGCATATACTTTTAGCTTGGTTTGCGATGCTGAATTTAGATACACTTTTTGGATAAATGATTGGTAAAAGGCTTACTTCCTATAGCCTTTTTTAGGGAAATGAAGTTTTCTTAAAGCATAACGTTCGGAAAACGGGAATCTGGAGAAATCCCGTAGTGTATAGACTGTTGAAGCAGCACACTTTATTACGCGTTCACAATGGCATCTCCAGACTTAGGTTTGCAAGCAAAACAACCCACATGCTTCAGGGGTATTCTGTTGTTTGATGAATGTCAATATCCCCCGTTACCAGCAGTTCGACCTTCGGTTTCGACGATGTTAATTGTGTGATCCATAGCCGGGTGAGATCGGGGACTGTGACATGTGCGTGGATTAGTAAATAGTGATAGTGGACCTGCACAGAATCTACCACGCTCTCCCTTCCTCCTCCTCCCAGGTCTGGGCCCGGTGTCAAGTCAGAGTCAAGAGGACCTGAGTTGGAAGAAGCCGCAGGTGACTCGCACGACATAAATCTGCACCTGGATGTACTGCAACACCCCCTGGTCCACAACAACACTCGACCAGAATTTTAAATAAAAACAAAAATGGGGTGCGGCAGGGATCCCAATTGGCGCGGGGTGGGTCTGGAACTGAGCCTGCCACCACACCCTGAGTGTTAAAATTTTGTTATGGTCGTCCATTCCCGATAACGCCTGTCGGACTCCGACCTAGCCCTCGTGTTAGTCCAGCTCACCTACTACGTGGTCCGCGTTAGGGGCACACGCACGCACGCACACACACACGCAAGGTGAGTTGGAAACTGAGCCCGCCACCACACCCTGAGTGCTGAAAATTGTTATGGGTGTACATTCCCGATAACGCCTGCCGACTCCGATCGAGCCCTCGTGTTGGTCCAACGCATCTACCGCGTGCACCGTTTCAGGAGTACAACACACAGTGAAGGCTCGACCTCCGTGACCGACGACGTCTGCCTTGTGCTGCACAGCAGAGTGAAAACAGGGATGTTAACTAGCGCGCGAATCGGTCTTTAGTAATAGTAGGTTTGGGCAGCACCTACCGCACTCTCGACTTCTTTGCTGCCAGGATCGGTGTCAAGACATAGGCGATAAGGCCAGAGGCGGAGTCGGGAGCAGGTGGTTGGCACGACCGGACCCGCACCTAGACATACCACCACACCCCCTGGTCATCAACGGACATTGGCCAGGATCTTATGCCACATCAAAAATAGGGGGGCGACATGGATCCCAACGGGCGCGGCGCGAGCCTGCACATGGCGTGCGTTTAAGCCCTAATGTGAACATTCGTTATAGGTAGGGATTTCTGGTAAGGCCTGCCGGATTTCGATCATAGCAACCAGGAAAATGCACTCTTAAAACGGATGGAACACAGGCCGTGGTTAAAAGGACTTATAAGGCTAAGAAGTCTCAACAAAAATGAACTAGGCAATAAAAGTTGCACTTCGCCCCAAAAACTGGGCGTCCAGATGCATTAACTTTCTCGGTTCTTTCGAAAAAATAAGTGAATTCTAAGTAACACAGAAATAAAGTTTACTAAATATGTAACACTACATAGTCGTACGTGTTACCGTCTTACCTGCTCTTAAACCTACCCGCCCTTTGTATGTGTTCTGAAGCAGCAGGACTCGGGTAACTCAGTCAGTGTTTTGGGAGCTCCGACTCACTCATTGCCTCGCTCCCGGTCGAATGAGCATTTACCCCACTTCTCCTCGACCGACCCCAGTTTTTTCGAAAGGATACTAAGCCCGGAAACCTTCCTTTAGACTGACTTACCGGGTGTTCTACTACTCGCGGGACGTAAAGCTCCCTAAATCATTCTAATCACACGCCAAGTTTCTACATTACCGGCAGCAGATAAATTCACATAAAAGGACCATGCTAAACACTTAAAACTCAAGATGTTTGACTTGAAAGGTCGATCAGGTGAGTGATTTCCATGATTGTCTACGTCATCCTGACCTTGAGTGGGTCCTCTGAAGGTGTGGTATCACATAAATGTGAATTAGGCTTAGTTACTTACTATTTCCTCAGTGCAAATAGATGCAGCTCTCACAGGGTGAAACACGTGAGCTACAGATCCAAGACTGTACACACTTTATACCTGGCTGCAACAGGTAGTTATTGCGTTCTAGCCCTAACTGGCCCCCAGTTACTGTGCCTCCACGTGGATAGGCTGATTGCAGCTTCCACGCACTACCAACCACCAGGGCCAGCGGGGGAAAGCAGACAATAGTAGTTGGCTGGCCTTTCCGGGGAGCGGTCAAACATGCTGTAAAGCCTGCTCCAGTCAGAAGAGAGGAATAAGCATGCGAGTTGCGTGAGAGAGACAAGGTTTGTATACCAAAGCACTTAGCACTGTAGGCTTCATCTCTAGTTATTGTAGTAAACGGAAGAGGGAAGGAGGACGAAGGCGGACATCTCAGCGCAAATCATTAATGCCTCTCAGGACTGATGACAGTCAACATTGTGTTAAACAGACAGATGGGATGTAGGGATGTCCACCTGCGGGTTCACGTGACGGTCGTTGTAGGTCGCACACTTGCTTGTAGGTGTGGACTATGCATAGCGTGTATTAAGTGGCATTGAACTCCCATATGTGACTCCCCGAGGCTTGGCTCTACCCAGCGGCCACACGCGCGTAACCGCCTCTACCGACGGGCTAAACCCAGCGAGGGTATCCGCGTGTGCAACTCCACACACGGTAACTCGGCTCCTCTCCTACCACCGCTGGCCTGATGGACCACCGCCTTGGCTCCTCTGAGATGAGGCTTCGTTTGCAACCCCGCAGGAGGCCACAAGGTAGGTGACACCCAGGCAAGCCGAATATTGCTCTGTTGTCTTGCCTTGTGTTCGTTCTTGCTTGTTTGCCCTTGTCTGTTTGTTTGTGTTTGTCCTTGTTGTAAGCTAAATACCATTCTGTTGAATTTGGCTGTTCGCCGTTTATGTCTCAACAATCAGTTAACACCTGCCTCTTTCCCCGACTCAGAGGTCCTGCGGCGGGAGCGACAGCGATCACGTACAGTGCGTGACCGATCTCATGAAACGTTGGCCAAAATTCTGGAATGCGTTTCCGATTAGGAAGGATTACTTAAATGGGGTTGTCATACTGATTATCATGCAGCATAACCCTATATCATTTCGGACTCGCCAGTATGTCGGCCTTTGAATGCACTTCTTTTTGACCTGCAGAAACCACATTCCGTAAAAAATGACTACTTAATTAGCATGCATTTTTCCTATTGATTTTTGATGATCTTATACATTCAAATATCTTTTACAGAAAGCATGCACAAAATATGCCATCTTTTGATCATTTGGAAGGAAATCACATTATCTTCATATTTTATGCCCGATGAAAGGGTATATTTGGGTTTTGAAAAGTTTCCCGATTCCCGAATAATTTTCAGCGTTTAGCAATTTCAGTCGACAAGGTGCATGCTTTCTGCGTAAGGAGAATCATATATTCCTCTATGTCATTAAGAAGACACCACATAAAGTTCATGAAATTTTACAATGGATCCGGACTGTGTTGTACACTTCATGAGGGGCATTAGTAAACGGACATGTGCGGTCTTTCATGCATGGACATCGCACGGTCTTAAACATCTCATAATTAGAAACTTCTTTAAAACCTAAATACACACTTTCCTCGGGCATAAAATATGAAGATAATGTGATTTCCTTCCAAATGAGCAAAAGAAAGCATATTTTGTGCATGTTTTCTGTAAAAGATAGTTGAATTCATAAGACCATCAAAAATCAACGTGAAAGATGCATGCTAATTAAGTAGTTAAATTTTTACCGAATGTGGTTTCTGCAGGAAGACAACAAGAAGTGCATTCAAAAGTCAACATCCTGGCGAGCCCGAACTGTTATAGGGTTATGCTGCATGATAATCAGTATGACAACCCCACTTAAGTAATTCATCCTAATCGGAAACGCATTCCAGAATTTTGAATAAAATTTCCTGATATCGGTCACACAGGCTAACTCAGGTTGTCCTTCAAATAAACAGAGTCGTGGCCCATAGGGGAGTCCAACAGCAATCTGGGATTGCTAAACAGCCCTATCAAGGGGCCATGATGCTTACCCCCGCAGAGGAGACAGGGCTAAAAAGGTGCCCTAAACAAATGCTTGGATAAAATCCTCCGCGCTCTGACCGTGGCTCGCAGACTCCAAACATAGGGTAGAAACAACCAAACACAAAATCATACCCTCTTCCCCCTTCTCCTCCTCCTCCGCGCCGTCCCATCTCACAGGCTGCTAGGATGAGTCCGTTCATTCCGGGAACCTAGACTGTTCGTTCCCTTTTATACAATCCAAGGGGCAACCGACTGGACAGCACTAGTGGCTCGGGAAATGGCGCGATACAAGGTGGACATCGCTGCACTCAGTAAGACCCGGTTCTACGAGCAAGGCCAACTGAATAAGGCGAGTTGCGGCTGCACCTTCTTCTAAGGCGGTCGCCCCAAGGCAGAGCGTCAGGACGCGGGCGTCGCCTTTGCCATCCGGAACGACATCGTGGGGCGATCGCCCTATCAGCCTTAGGGCATCGATGACCACCTGATGAGCTTCCGCCTGCTTCTCTGGGGAGGCAAATTCGCCACCATCGTCAGTATCTACGCTCTTCCGATGACCAGCCCTGATGAGCCAAGGAGCCAGTTCTACTAAGACCTGCATACTCTCCTGGAAACTGTGTCGAAGGCGGATAAATTGATTATCCTTGGTGAGTTCGACGCCCGCGTTGGCACAGACCATGCTGCCTGGAGAGGAGTATTGGGTCCCTATGGTCTCGACGACTCCAATGATAATGACCTGCTCCTGCCAAGAACCTGTTCAGGACAACGGCTCACCCCGACCAACACCTTCCGCCTTCAAATGCGACAAAAAACCATCTGGATGCACCCTCGGTCGTGACACTGGCACCTACTGGACTATGTCCTCTTCTGGAGGCGAGACCAGCGGCACGTACCGGTGACAAAGGCGATTCCGGGTGCCGACGAGTAGGCTGAAGACCATCTCGTCACCTCCAAGATGAGGATTCGCCTACAGCCTTGCAGGAGGCCTGAAGGTAAGTGACCCCTAGGTAAATTGAAGATTGTTTTGCTGTCGTCGCCTGCTTACCATCTCCATTTCGGCAAGGAACTAGCCCAAAGGCTAGTCAACCTTCCAGTCGGCGTCGCCGCCGCAGCGGCGGATGCACTACCAGTCGCGTGTATCCACAACTACCGTCCACGAACTTCTCTTCACCGACGATTGCTCCCTAAACATAAAGGCCAGCAGAGAGATATAATGGAGCATGGACCTCTTCGCCGCCGCCTGAGACAACTTCTGCCTGGTCCTCAGCGCAGAGATGACAGTGGTTATGCACCAACCTCCACCCGACTCTGCTTACAACTTGAACGGCGCCCAACTGCAAGCCGTGTACAACTTCACATATCTGAGCACCACCCTCTCGCAAAGTCAACATCGACGATGAAGGGACCGACCGGATTTCCAAGGCCAGCCAAGTCTTCGGCCGTCTGCGAAGCACAGTTTGAGATAGACACGTTCTCCACATCAAATCCAGCCTGAAGATGTAGAAAGCGGTCATCCTGCCGACGCAACTGTAAGGTGACGAGACTTGGACGGCATACAAGAAGCAGGGAGGAAACCTCAACCATTTCCATCTCAGCTGTCTCCGACGGATATTGAAGCTGATGTGGCAGGACTGGACGCCGGACATGAACTTACGAGAACGGAGGGGAATCCTCCTATGGAAATTTTGGCACGGGTTCCCGCCGACAAAGAGGTTGAGTTCGGAACGACAAGGATACCCCGAAGACTTCCTTAGGGCGCCTGCGAATCGATCCGGTTAACTGAAAAGGCCTCTCTCAGGACCGGCCAACCTGGTGGGGAGCAGTGAAGACAGGCGCAGTGATCTACGAAGACAACTGCATTCCCGACGAGAAGCCAAACAAGAATTTTGCGAATCTTAACTGCTCTGAACCCGCAACGCCAGTGTTCAACCCCTCCCGACCTGCCCACGATTTCAGCGGACGTTCCTGGCACCAACTGGTCTCATTGGACATCGTCGAACAAACCGCAGCATCCAGACGACACCACCCAGTGTCCGTCGTCCATCTCTGCCTCGTCCCCACACAGACAGTCAACACTGACCGCACTCCTGAACCCCCATTGCCATTCTCCTCCGTCGTTTCAACATCCGCTGTGATGGCTCTTGCATCCACCGCCACTGCACTTGATCCTGACACATCGACAAGCATCAACCTCACGACAACCCATATCAGCGATGTGGACTCAGTCCAAACCTGTTCCAATTGCCATCGCACCTTCACTTAATACATCACCATGGTCGGTCACTTGGGAATCCATCGCACAGAGGCTGGCGTTCCAGTACCTGGAGCACCAACATACATCCGACGCATCCTCCTCAGCTGCCCTCATTGAACTCGCACATTCACCCGTTGTATGGGTCTTTTGGGTCGCATGCGCTATCACGAAAACTGCGGTAGACAACCACCGGCTTTACTACACTATCACATCTTCCTCCACCTTAATCACGCAGCACCTTCATCCACCACAGGCATCCAATTGCCACTCCCACGCAAGTGGGTAGTGTGTGTCTCGCCTCCGTCTCCATGCGGCCCCTAATGCCTGTATGATTCGAGTCGGAGGCTATCACGGCGCATCAAGCGCTGTCATGGAAGACTGCTGACTGACGCCCCGACTCAGATTATGCAGTCTGCCCAGTTGCGTGTGTGGTTGTTTGGAGTGGCGGACTGGTGGGCCGAAAGCGAAACTGAAACGGACCCTTATTAACGTGACCTATGGCACTCTCAGGCATGTGAGATGCACGTCGTCCAACCCCCGTTGTGTGAAATCTTGGTGCTTGTGTTTGGTGGGCCAGGTCGTGCATATGGCGCGCGCAGACAAGGTCACTAAATATGTCGGCCACGGTGCCCACTCCCTGCACATGTCAACTGACCGGCTCAGACAATGACTGGGGTCTGGAAATGGGAAGGGAGAGGTTGACGACTCAGTGCACTTTCCTCACTACAAACAATCTGACGCGCCTGAGGCTATCACAGTGCGCTGAAAGCCGTGGCTTGGAAAGTTGCAAATTTACGAGATAACTTAGACCTCGTAGTTGGCCCAGTGTTGTGTGTTTGTGTGGAGCGGCCGGCTGGTGGTCTAGAAGTTAGGCCGCAGTTGCTCCCTCTTAATGTGGCCTTTATGGCACTCAAACTTCGTGGGATCAGAGCCAGATGTGACGGCTCTGGCCGTGCCGGCCACTCTTTTGTAATTGGTTAAAATCCTGGTCATTTGCTGTGTGGACTAGGGGACGCAGATTGGAGCACCAAGGTGCGCGCTCGACTGTGCCATCCACCTGAACCTTCCTCTGACTCCGGTCTTCTTGACTTTGTTTTGACACCGGGTCCAGGAGGGGGAGAAGAGAGTGTGGTAGATGCTGTGTAAGTCTAAATTCATTATCAGCTAAATCAAGCAGAGCGTCTAGTCAGGGGGCTGTTTAAATGAAGGAATGGGGGCTTGACCAAAGACGAAATTAATTTCACCATCGCGAAATGCATACGTCGGAAGCTTCAGAAATCAGCCTAGTAAAGATTACATGCAGTTGATGGTTTATCTGAGTAGTTGCAATCATCGATCAGGCAGATCGGTGACATCAAGCGTTTAAAAACTTACGCTGAGGTAAATTAATAGAATAAAAGGTAATAATAAGTAACTTTGACTAAGGGTTGCTGGCAACCAAGAGAAAATCCAGAAATCGCCGCACTTTGGCCCTAAAAACTGACTTCTTATAT